CCAGTCATAACTGCCACCCCACGACATCAACATTTGGCTGTCGGCGCGTATAAACACCGGAGGCCGGGCGAGGGACCTGCCGCCAGCGACGGCGGCCTCGATGTCGTAGCATCGCACCTCGGCCTCGATGTCGTAGCAGGACGTCTTCTTCTGCTCGGGCCCGTCCACGGTGATGGTGTGGTTGATGACGATCGGGTCGGGCGGGTGCAGCAGCGAGTTGAGCCGGTGCGGCACCTCGGCGAACTTCATACGCGAACACTGGAAGATCTGCTCCAGGTAGCGGTCGCAGTTGACGTACTCGCGCTCGCTCTGGTCCTGCGGCGGCGGGAGCGGCGCGTCAGGCCTCACGACACGACCAGGCGACGGGCAGCGGACGGGACCATCGTTCTGCACGACGGCAGGGATGGGGAGAGGCCACCACACACATCCACACATACACCACAACCAAGTAGCTACCAGTCATAACGTCGTCTTATCTGGCCTTCCCCAAACACGCGCCACCTTCCGAAAGCAGACCGGGAGCCACATTTCAACACCCTGCCCAAGATAATGACACCAACCAAAGCACACACAATTCCACTGTACGGATGACACACGAACGCCACGAGCCCGCGGCCTCTCACTGGCGCAGCTGTACTTTCCCCCGTGTCTCTTTCGGCCGAACTGTCGGACGGCGCGTTGGACGCCGACACGCTGCCTCGCTCTCACCTGCAGCTTGTTGTGCTTGACGTACTGCCAGAGCGCCTGCGTGATGACGGGCCGCGACTGCGTGTGCACGCCCAGCAGACGCGCCAGCCGCGAGTCCAGCTTGAACTGCGGCGGCTGGTTGTCCAGTAGCAGCAGGATCGTGCAGCGCACGTTACGGTCCCCTGGTCGCTTCACATTGTCAGGGCAGGGGAGGCGCCGGTCAGCGGTGCACACGGAAGCTCATAGATGGCGCATGGAGCTGACAGGCAGAGGCCAGAGCTCACAAGCAGACAAAGTTTACTGCACAAGCACACAGTAACATTCAACCTCCACTCTGTAGCACTAAGCACCATTACATAGGGTTGCAAGATGACATGAGGAGGTTGTACGTTTTTCGTTTTATCTGTTCATAACAGTTGGAAGCCCGGCCTCCTGCCAGTCACAACGGATGCTTCTCCACAGTACACAAACATCACAGCCACCAGTGAGGACCCAGTTGGACCCACCTGCAGGGGCCAGTCTGCGACCTGACCCTGATAGTTGGCTGTGAGGTCTCACCTGGAAGCCATCTGTCTCCTGAGTGCTAGCTGTTCTGTGCCACTCCACCAGTGATTGTCCGGACCGTACAAGTCCTTGTCCAGTTCGATCACCAATGACTTGAAGAATGAAGAGAACTTGCGCTTGCCCTGCAGAATGAACACAAACCGATCTAGCGCGTTCCGACTGATGTTCAAAACGAACGGTTACGGACAAAACACAGTACACAGTGTTGCATACAGTACATACAACAGGTACCACCAGCATAAAAAATGGGGTTGCAGGCACTTGAATTAAACGATTTTTTTCGATGTCCAAAGCAACATATGGCACAAACACCCACACCACTATCACAAACACCTGGCTGCCCACCACTTCTCACCAACAGCATCCACCACCTGTCATATACCCCCACACCACAGCCCCCCGCGTCTTAACGCACCTTGGCCGACTGGTCAGGCTTGCCGTCGTCCAGCAGCTTGCCCTCGACGCGCAGCTCCCAGCAGGCGGCGCTGCCGTCCGTCTCGCCCTCGGCCGCCGCCTTCGCAGGGAAGTACGTATTGGAGATGAAGACGCGCAGCTTACGCTTCTGCTTCATCGGCCGCTTCAGCGCCTCCTACGCCGGTGGAGCGCGGGCGGTGAGCGAGCCGACAATTCCATAAACAGAGACACATACAAAGACAGAGAGGAAACCACAGACAGGGGCAGACAGAGACAGAAGGAGAAAAAGACAGAGGGAGACAGAGACAGAAGGAGATGGAGGTAGAGGGAGACAGATACATAGGGTGACGGACAGAGGGAGACAGATACAATGAGTGAGTGACTGGGTGAGTGAGTGAGCGAGTGATAGTGAGCGTGAGATACAGAGGGAGAGAGAGATGCAGGAATATGGAGGTGGACGGCGAAAGACGGAGAGCAAAACCGGCAGAGCAGTGACTACCAACCGGGCGAAGGTGTAGAAGTCTAGGATGGATCCACAGCCTTATACCACATTGCTGTGCAAGGTCAGCTCTGCATACAGGAAATATGCACACCTGCAGTGGGTGCCATATCTCAGAAAAACAAATTATGACGAAAACATCGCTGGCTGCGACCACTGCCCTGAGCCTGATTTCACCTGCTCCCTTTGGCGAGAGAATGTGCGCCTCTTCCCATAACAGCTGCACACACTACAAAAACAATCAATCAGCGTATCACAACGATTGATTTCACAAGTGCTCCACCAACCAAAGCAGATGTCTTTGTAACAGAGCGTGGTGCCATACCCAAAGGCGTATATTGACAACCTATACTCAGCAGCAAACTCCACAACAAAGGTGCACAACATGGCATGCGCACCTGGATATCCAGCCGTTTGCGCATGATGGTGGCGTCCAGCTTGCGCTCAAAGGCTAGGAGGTCCATGTAGGCTTGCGACTCGGGTACCAAGTCCCGCACTTTCCACGGCAGGATCTTGTCTGCCATCCGCTTCCGCTTCTTAACGCTGAAATGACCGGGTCTGAGCACGGTTCGAGCCACGTAATGATCGGCAGAAGGCAATGGACTCAGACAAACAACAACACAATCAAATCACAACACTATCCTGCTTATTTTGGAGCTTACAGATAGATAGGGCTGAGTGCATGCCACTCTGTGGCTTCCTTAACATAATACATGTAATGAGGAAATTCAGAGTGAATGTAAAACCTTCCATATCACACATGGATGCAGAAAATTTCAGAACACCGCGAGTTACGACCAAGTTGAGGCATTTCATCAAAAGACCATCACCACCAAACAACACTAGACCGACAGTGCTAAGGGCAACTGTGTGCCTCGTCAGTCGTCGCTAGGCACGGTGGTCATCAGTTCACATTGGCGGCTTACGTTTTACCCTGCTGAGCGAGCGGTCCTCTCTGATCCGACGGACGTTTGATAGGCTGCGGTCCTGGCTGCGGTCGGACCACGGGTACCGGTTTTGCACCATGTTTCCACCTGTCAAGGCACTGTGTTTTGGCAAAGTCCACAGTATACATATAGCACAGCATTTATAGTTATGGAGTGGGAGGGGCAGCGTCACACCTGATTTCTGACTGATCCCAAAGGGAACTAAAGTTAACTAGTTATTCAGCATTATGGGGGGGGGAGGTACTTATGACTTTGTCATCATTGGTGAAAAGGGCAAGTACAATACCTGATCGCTGCATCATATTTTGAGAGCTGCTTGATGGGTAGTGTCCATGCTGCATTCCCTGTAAGAACATAAAAATGTGATAGCATGCAAGCCATGCTTGAAACACAACCCAGATATAATATATAGTGAAACATGTTTGCAAGTAACAAATATCAAACAATTTGGACCACAATCAGTGTTACTATCACTACCATTGACCTGGCTTCAGTTCCATAACTTGCACTTACATTGTATGCAGATCCTCCACTGCCATATGTACGAGCCACAGGGGTCCCTGGAGTTCCAAAACAAGGCTGCTGAGGAGCAATCTGTGGACGTGGTTGCCCATCTTGTGGGGGTAGTTGTGTCGTAGTGCCATAACCACACTGCGAGACTGGTTTTTGGTGTTTTGTGTTCTGGAAGAGTACAGTCTCAATGAAAGCATAATGCGCCTACTTCACAACACACAATGCTCACATGCATCACGAGCCAGCATGGCTACATCGCTTCCGCAAGAATAACACCAAAAGTATATTACCTGACATGACACAGTCTGTAATGACAATGCCATGACATAATGGCTGCAGAAAGAGCAGTAATACAACAAAATTCAAACAATACAAATCAAATGCACTGTATCTTATAAAAGTGGTGCATACTATAAATCTGCATCCCAACTGATTACAGTAAAAGCATATCATCAGTCACCTGAAATGGATGGCACAGGAACTGGGGGGAGGGGCAGGGCTAGAAGGAGAAAGGTTCTTGTCTACCAATCTGCAAAAGATTAGTCCATTGCACAGGATGTCTTCCAAACATAAGTGAGCTGAACCTGATGCACAAGGACCAGTGTTTTGAACTTACAATAGGCCAGGTGAAGAATATTGACCTTTGCATAATCAAGTTAAGGGGGAATTTTGGCCTAACAGAACATGGACAACATCACAATTCCTTCAAATATTGCCTGTCCACGCACTGACATTGGTGATGACCATGAAAAGCACGACTGTCAGTGCTCAAACTTATGGTATGCATGCTCTGAAACTAATGCTGGTAAGTCGCTTCCTGTCAGGATATCACTTGCTATGATGTTACTTGTTATACAGGTGGTCTGTCGCTAAACTGAACATGTTTGAAAAACAATTTTTGCAGGCTACAAGCCCACCCGACTTTCAAGAACAATGGGCAAACTAACTTTAACAACCTGATTGGGCAGCTTGTTTCAACCATCTTCAACCCCATTACTGAGAAAGAATGTTGCAATTTACTCCTGCTGAGATTAAATTTATTCCCATGTTGATCCATTCTTACTCTGTTGACTTCATTTATGCAAAAATCTAACAGTGCTCTGAAGTTGAACCAGGCCAAATAGTGATGAGATTTGTGATACTTTTCCCTAAAATGCTTCAAAAATATTCTTCAGAGCGACCAAATTATTGATGTGATGATTCCCTCAATCCTTCTATATTTCAGCAAATGCTTTCTTAGGTACTTTATTATCTCTGCAGGCTAGACTATAACAATATTTGAGGCATCACATCATTAGAGGCAGGTCAGGACAGGTGAGGCAACAGACACAGGTCTTCTTAACAAAATGAAATCTGATTGCTCCTTTGAGCACACAATGATGAGCAGACTTTAAAGTGTCAACACTGTCCATACCTAATTAGAGAATACAATTAACCGCGTCAAAAATTATTTCGACATCAGCATGAGTACTCTGAATACAATGCATCAATAAAAGAAAAACAAAAATAGCACGATACAAAAAAATACAATCCACGGATGCCTTCATACCGCAACAAAGAACAAAGTTTCAGGGCAGGACCAAGCCGTTGGACTATACGCCGATGTGCAGCCCACGGCTAACGACGTGCCGGCGTCCCATGACTTGTCCGCCAATTTTGCCGCAAGATGAGAGTTCAAAGGCGGCCAGATAATCTGACCTTGAAAATTGTAGCTACCAGCTTTGAAAATCTCTTCAACAGTACTTCACCTACGTAAGCTACAATACATCAGGAAAATAAAAGCAAAAAGTAACACCATACAAAGACTGTTTTCAGTGTTTTGTGTTCTGAAAGAGCTCAGTCTTAATGAATACACAATACAACTACTTAAGAACACAAGCACTTACATAAAATATGAGACAGCATGGCTTCATCATTTCTCCTCAGAATTACACAAAAAGTAATCACCTAACCTGGCAAAGGCTGCAATGGCGATGCCATAATGACTAGGATAGCGAGTAGGGTCATCGGCAGGTAATTTTGAATTCACATCTGCTATTGTTTCGATGAACGCATGTTGCCGAAATATCAACCCAACTATATCTCCTTCTGGTTTTCCTTCGAGGAATAATACCATTCCTACTGTCTTATCTGAGTCCTTCACCTACAGAAATTCGGGCATATGGGGATGCAGGGCCCCGTTCGATCCGTCGCTAGCACTGTTATCAGCTGGAACGCGTGACGTCATGCGTGCTGATGGTGCGTTTGATGTGTGGGCTGACGGGAAAGTTTTTTAGCTTAATTTTCCCTTCTACCAGACCACAGACGATCTGGTGTCAGCACTTGGCACTTTTTCAAGCACAACCTTGATTCCTAGCCTATTTACAGCCAGCTGGTTGGTCGACGTGATCTATTGATGGCTGACGCCTCATGTAAACTTCCTTGTCAGCATGGATGATTTAGGAAGATTAACATCAGCATAGACCTGAAAAACTTGCACATGCAACTGACCTATGACGCCATAATTACGCAATAAACTTGCCCCCGAAACATGTTCATAGCAAACAGCGCGATTGCCTCTTCCTCTTTCCCGCTTCCGGCATAGCAGGTTATTCCAACCATAAAAAAATGTTGCAATGGCAGCTCACTGCACTGGCTTTCCGACCAAATTTATTGCAGCACTCCTCACTCCCTAAATCCGAGGGTGTGTGTCGTTCAGAAATTTCATTGCGAAATGCGTGTTTTGGGTCATTTTCCCATGGTTTCTCTTCCCATGGTTACACTATGTTAATTGAGCATAACATGCCAAAAACGCAACACCCTTACAGCCCTAACTGACGAGCTAGTGGTGCAAAACAAAGATGGGTGTGTTGTTTGTCATGATAGGGTGTCAGCAGTATACGACTTTAAATTTGTGAAGTATATATAAGGACTAACAATTCGCCATAATGCCATGAATACAGGGGCAGATCTCGGATTTCGTCAAGGGGGGAGGGGAGGGTACGCATCGTTGCAAGGCTCCCTAAATGTTAGGGTGCCTCCAAAAGGTCCTTGCATTCCGGCCATCAAATTTCAAGTTTCTTAGTATGCTATCTTGTATGCGGGACCTATCTTACTGTGCAGAGCCCTAGAAAGTTACATGTACTACGTATGCGCATATACGCAGCTTTCATTTTCTCCGGACTACATTCTGTTATTCTGATGCCAAGCTGGGTACTCTCGTTTGCTCAGGGGCCCTTTACATGGGTCTCGGTTAACCTACTGACACACTCGCGGCATGTTCAGGGGCCCTCTTCATTGGTCTAGGCGCTTCCAATCCTCTGTCAAATGTTCAAATGTTTAGAGCCCTACGCTCTTGTCAGGGGCCCATCTGATAGCCTGCTTGGGCACACTCACTGGGGGACCTACGCGATTGTGGGAGGCGGGGGGGGGGGGGGGCTATCTGATAACCTGCTCGGACACATTCGATCGTTCGAGGCCAACTTCATTGGGTCTTGGGCACGTCCAAATTGAATGGGGCCCACGCTCTTGTCGGGGGTTCCCCTCTGTTCGCTTCATCGGTTACACTTGATTGTTCGGGGGCCCTGCACATTGAGTCTTGGTGTTTGAATTTACGGCCCTGCGCTCCTATCGGAGTCATCTGATAATCTGTTCGGGTACTGTCCATCTTTGGGGGCTCTCCGCACTGGGTTTTGGGTATTTCTTGTTTGAATGGAGGGCCTTACGCTTTCGTCGGGGCTCTATCTGTTAACCTGCTCTGGTGCACCCCATTATTCGGGGCCTCCCACATCATGTCGTGTGTATTTAGTATTTAAATGGAGGGTCCTACGCTCCCGTCGGGAACCCCATCTGTTAACTTACTTGAGCACACTCGTTATGCGGGGGCCCTCCACATTGTGTCTTGGGCACTTCCTATCTGAACGGAGGGTGCTGCGCGCTTGTTGGGAACCCACCTGGTCGCCTCCTCGGCCACTCTGGAGTGTTAGAGGGCCCTGTATATTGGGCCTTGGTGTTTGAATTTAGGCCCCTGCACTCCTGTCGAGGCTATCTGATACTGTTCTCGGGCACACTCGATCATTCGAGGGCCCTCTACATGGGATCTTGGGTGCTCCCTATTTAAAGGGAGGGTCCTACGCTCTTGACGGAGACCGTTTATGTTAACCTGCTCCGACACATTCTATCACTCGGGGGCCCTCTACTTTGGGTCTTGGTGCTTCCTATTTGAATGGACGTCCCCACGTTATTGTTGGAAGCTTATCTGTTGATCTGCTCTGGCACATTCTATCACTCGGGGGCCCTCCATATTGGGTCTTGGGTGCTTCCTATTTAAATGGATGTCCCTACCTTCTTGTTGGGAGACTTATCTGTTAACCTGCTTTGGCACACTCGATCATTCGGGGCCCTCTACACTGGGTCTTGGGTACTTCCCATTTGAATGGACAGCCCTACACTCTTAGCGGGGGCTCTATATGCCAGCCTGCTCCGACACACTTAATCGTTCGGAGCCCTACACATTGTGTCGTTAGTATTTCTTAGTTGAATGTGTGGTTGTGTTCCTGGCAGGCCCCATCTATTAAGCTGCTCGGGCCGGCGGCGGATGCAGAGGGCGGCTGAACGCAAGAGACCATGCCCCATTGGACCATGCCGAGAGGACCTGAAGGCACCTGTAGACGACCAAAAACAATTGCTAATAAAAGTAAAGAGTTCATAAGCAGACGAAGTTAACACGCACTCGAGTGGAGGGTCAAATTGACCCCCCCCCGAAGGTTTTTCCAGAACGGCTTCCGAACGACGCGGCGCAGCTGCGCCAAATTCTAGATTGCTGCAGACAATTGAATAACGAATCGTTTGGCATGAACAATGGAGATGTATTCTGTAAGTTCACTGACCTATGGCGGGTCAAAGTCAGGCTATGGTTTCAGCGAAGTCAATTTCTAGGGAATCGTTCAATCTGATGCAACGACGGAGTGTTAGACGAAGCCATACATCTCTGAGATGCTTTCTTAGGCAACACAAACATTGAGTGAGCAAATTAAGTTGACCTAAGTTCAGGTATAAAGGTCAGACCAAAGTCAAAACCAGCCTGCTTTATTACTCTAGGGCTTGCTGTATGGGATAGTTTCTAGT